AATGCGTTAACACGGGTTGGCCTCAGAACCCGATCGTAGACTGCTTGACGAGCAGAGGCTGCTGCTGGGTACTTGGTCCTCACTGCTGGTGGGCTCTGGGGTGCGGGCTCAGAGGGAGGCTCCGAGGCCCAGGAGTCTCCTCTCTCTAGCCGAGGAGTGGATCTCTGCTAACAAGGAGCCGGTGGAGCGCTGCGGCTTCACGGTCAAGGATCTCCCCACGGGCGCCAAGATCCTCTTCCGGGTCGTCGGGGTCAACATCGCGGGCCGCAGCGAGCCGGCCACACTGGTGCAGCCGGTCACCATCCGGGAGATCGTGGGTGAGTGCCCTCGCCCGGCCTCCTCATGCCCGTCCGTGTGGTGCCCCAGCCCGGCGCTGAGCCCGGTGTCTGTGCCGCAGAGCAACCCAAGATCCGCCTGCCCCGCCACCTGCGCCAGACCTACATCCGCAAAGTGGGGGAGCATATCAACCTGGTCATCCCCTTCCAGGTACGGGCGGGCCCGGGCGGAGGCAGGGCCGGGTCTGCTGCGCACAGCCTGTGACCTCGCCGCCCCTCCCGCCAGGGCAAGCCACGGCCCCAGGTGGTGTGGACGAAGGGCGGGACCCCCGTGGACACCTCCCGCGTGCACGTGCGCACCAGCGACTTCGACACCGTCTTCTTCGTGCGCCAGGCGGCCCGCTCCGACTCCGGGGAGTACGAGCTGACCGTGCAGATCGAAAACATGAAGGACACGGCCACCGTCCGCATCCGCGTCGTGGGTGCGCAGACTGGCAGGGGCGGGCGGGGCCAGGGACCGGAGGGCGTGGTCAGGGCCTAAGGGGCGGAGTCCCAGTGGGCGTGGCCTGGGGGTTGGTGAAGGCTGGGGGCGGGGTCAGGGGCTGAGGGGGCGGGGTCTCTGGCAGGTCTAGGAGTGGGCGGGGCAGAAGGCCAGAAGTTTAGGGTGCGGGAAGTCTGTAAGGTGGGAATGGGGCAACAAGGTGAGGAACTGGAGGACCCAGGGCGTGGGCCTGAGGTGTCAGAGTCTGGAGTGCGGTGAGGAGGGGACGGCAGGGACTCCGGGCTGGCATGCGACAGCCCCTGTCCTTCCAGAAAAGGCAGGGCCCGCGGAGAACGTGATGGTGAAGGAGGTGTGGGGCACCAACGCGCTGGTGGAGTGGCAGCCTCCCAAAGACGACGGGAACAGTGAGGTCACAGGGTATTTCGTCCAGAAAGCTGACAAGAAGACCATGGTGAGGGGCCGGGGCCCATGGGTGTGGGGGGTTGCTGGCGAGCCCGCTTCACAGTGTGTAGCCTGGGGTGAGGGCGCTGAGTTCAATCCTCATTATCACACAAAAAAGGATACCCTGTCCCCATCAGCAGTCTCCCTTCCACCCCAACCCAGTCCCCAGAAACCCCCACTTTGCTTTCTCTCTGTGTGGATTTGCTGACTCTGGACGTTTCCATAAACAGAAGCAGAGAGTATGTGACATGTGTGTCTAGCTTGCGTGCTAGCTTCCACCCTTTTCAGGGCTGAGTAATATTCTTTTGCACTGCTAACCTACATTTTGTTCATCCACCCATCCCTTGGTGAATATTTGGGTGGTCCCTCCCTGTTGGAAACTGTAACTGCTGCTGCCATGAATGACAGGTTGCTGCATCAACCTGCGTGTGGTCCCCCTGGTGTCCTGTCCCCACACTAGGAATGGTTCAACGTCTATGAACACAACCGGCACACCAGCTGTACCGTGTCAGACCTCATCGTGGGCAACGAGTACTACTTCCGTGTGTTCAGCGAGAACATCTGCGGTCTCAGCGACCTGCCTGGGGTTTCCAAGAACACAGCTCGCATCCTTAAAAAAGGTGCTGCCCCGCCCCAGGGCCTGTCCCTTCGATGGTTCTACTATGGGTGGAGCCAATCTGGACTCTGAGCCTCACCTCTGCCCTGGACTCGGATTGCTGGCATCTGGGGATGGGGCAGAGGCGGTGGGGTCTCTTGGCTGGCTGGGTCAGGGACAGCCTTCAGTCAGTCACCTGATGGGTGTGCCCTCCGCACCAGGAATCACCCTCAAACAGCCTGAGTACAAGGAGCATGACTTCAGGATGGCTCCCAAGTTCCTGACGCCCCTCATTGACCGGGTGGTTGTGGCCGGCTACGCCGCAGCTCTCAACTGCGCTGTCAGAGGCAACCCAAAGGTGACAGGGTGGTGGCCATAGGAGTGGCACGTGTGGGACCCAGGGAGAATGGGCACGACAGCCCAAGCCCAGCACACTGCCACTTCCTCCCGGCATCCTCCGGTTTCATGGGATTTGCTCACATTACCCCACTTCCTGTCTCGATCCTTGGCCTGAGCCCAGGGCTCAGACAATGACACCCTGTCTTCCTGCCAGGCAGCGGTTCCTCTTGGCAGCCTGAGCTCAGAGGGGAGGTCATTCAGTCTCTCTTGTTCTGTGCAAGGACAAACAGCAGTGCCTGGAGAACAGAAATGGCATTGGCTGGGGGATCTGGACTGTAGGGGTCCCCAGGCTCACCCCCTACCCATTTCCAGGCCACCACTTGGAAATATGAACCCTTCAACCTTGAACAGGGAGACCCTGTAGACCAGGAGTTGGTAAACTATAGCTCTGGGCCAAATCTGCCTGCCACCTGGTCCTCTCAATAAAGTTTTATTGGCACACAGGCCACATAGAAATAGTTTACATGTTACCATGGTCTCTGCACTACAGCAACAGAGCTGACTCATTGCAGCAGAGACCTTGGGGCCTGAAATCCTTGAACTGCGTGTGACCTGGCCTTCGTAGGGAGCACGTGCCGGCTTCTGCACCGGACTGCGTGTTTTTAGCTCCCTTCATGCACATCAGTTCTCCATCTCCATGACCGTCCACTCCCGGACTCCACTGCCCATTTCCCGGCTCGTTTATTCACCTACCAGCCCACCCACGTCCACAGTTCTTTCACTTCCTCCATATAGTTAATTGCATCATTCACTCACTCACTCCATTCATTCTTCAAGCATTTTCAGAGATTTTCTGTGTGCTGGGAAAAAAGGACCAGAAGTTCCTGCATATTGGGGGGTGGGGCGGGGGCTGGCCTTGGTACAAAGTCACACAGTGAACATAAAGGTATAAGGACAGTATTGTGCCAGGAAATGCAGCCTTTCCTGTCCCGGTCTAGGGGCCGTGAGCGGACAGGTGAGGGGCAGGCAGGCACTAGGGAAGGGCAGGAAGGGGGCACTGGGACAGGGGAGTAAGTACCAAGGTCCTGAGGCAGGAGCCCCCTGCCCTGGCCCCCGCACCCCTGAGCCACCCTTCCCGCTCTCTGTCCCCCTCCAGCCGAAGGTGGTGTGGATGAAGAACAAGATGGAGATCGGTGAAGACCCCAAGTTCCTGATGACCAACCACCAGGGGGTCCTCACGCTCAACATCCGCCGGCCCTCGCCTTTTGACGCGGGCAACTACTCCTGCCGGGCTGTCAACGAGCTAGGGGAGGCTCTGGCCGAGTGCAGGCTGGACGTGCGAGGTGAGGGCCGGGCCCGGGCCCGGGGAAGGGGGCAGGGTCCCGGGTGGAATGGTCCTGGAGCAGTGTGGGCCCCGGGGACAGGAACTTGGCAGCCACGCCCTGGGAGGCTCCCTGGGTTGGCAGAGGGATAAAAGTGGAGCCCAGGATCCTGGGAGCCCAGGACACGCCTCCTCCTGCATCGTCAGCTGCAGCTCTGACACCACCACCCCCACCGCCATTTTCTTCTGGGACAGGGTCTCATTATGTATTCCAGGATGGTCTTAAACTCTCTACGTAGTCTAGACTGTCAGATTGTAGTCCAGATTGTCAAACTGACAGTTCTCCTGCCTCAGCCTCCCAAGTACTAGGATTATAGGCGTGCGCCAACACACCTGGTCTCTGGCCCTCACCTTGGCCCCTGGATCCCTTTCCTCCAGAACCCTCTTTCGGGCCTCCTCCTCAGCCTCCCTGCCTCCATCCTCGCTCTCCTGCCTGTCCCCTACAGTCCTAGACAGGGGTGTCTGGTCCACAGTGAGTCCGGAGCCCCCTCATCACAGCCCTCCTGGGCTCCTCAGCACCCCTGGATCCCCAGCCGGGACCTCACAGCCACGACATCCACATGGATGTCCGGTCCCTACTTGATTGTGACCTCTGGTCCACTCAGATTTCCCTGGCCCTGGTGACACCCCGGCAGTCAGAAGTGACTGCAGACCTTAGCAGGGGTTCAGATGGGACACGCTCCAAGTCCAAGTCACCGTTACTCTAGGTCACCGTGCTTCCTGGCTGCCCCAGTGTCTAATAATCTGTTGATCCCTACTCACTCCCTGAATCTGCTCAAAGCATCCACACCATGGGACCAGGGACTACTTGGAGCCAGCAGCTGGTCACAGGAGTTTTGAGCAGAAAATGACAGTGATCAAACCAGGTGACTTAGTGAGGCCCTCCCTGTCTCAAAAAATAAGCCAGGTGTGGTGGTGCATGCTGTAATCCCAGCACCCAGGAGGCTGAGGCAGGAGGATTGCTTCAAGTTTGAGGCTGGCCTGGGCTACACAGTGAGTTCAAGGCCAGCTTGAACGACATAGTGAGACACTGTCTCAAAAAACCAAAGGTGGGGATGACAGTGGTCGTGGCCGCTAATGGTTAGGGAGAGGAGCTGCAGGGAGATGTACTGTCATGTGTCCCTGCTGGTCACAGGGACTCAGCAGGCAGAGAGGCCTGGGTAGCTCAGGGAGCCACAGCCCACCTCACCTACTCATTTCTCCCCCCGTAGTGCCACAGTGAAACAGCTCCCAGCTGCCAAGATGACTGGGCCCCGACTGCAACCCCAGAGAGCTCCGGACTGTGCCTTTCTCCAGCTGTTGCTGATAACAAAGCAGTGCTGCTTAGACTACTGTGTGTGTGGTTTCCTCGCCTCTGTCGCTCCCCTCCCCCTCACCCGGGCTGGTCACCCTGGGGTGGGTGAGGGGCAGCCGGGCAGGGCAGCCACCACCACTAGGCGGCCGCAACAAAAGAGGCCACACTGGGGCCACCATCTTGAACAGCGAGTTTAGTGGGGGCAACCATATTGTCGTGACAACCGCAGAGCTTCAAAGGGGAGCCCCAGGTCCTGCTGCCAAGGTGGGAGAAAGGGACGGGCTGGTGGTGACTGAAATCTACAGTGAGTCAGAGATGCACCCCAGGGCGGACTGGGAAGGCTGCGTGCCGTGGGGACGCTGGGGACGCCGGGCACCAGGTCACCTGGCTGCGTGGGGACCCGGCCGCTGCTGACTGACCGAAGACCCGCCAAGGCAGCCTCTGCCTCGGTAAACGGGCGCTGCTGGCAGAAGTGCCTTCGAGCTGGCTGTGTTCGTAAGCGGCGATCTTTATTAGTGTTAATAATCCGTCTGTGTGGCCCTGGTCCTTAGAGACAGCATCAGAGTCCCCAGAGCTCGGAGGTCTGTGGGTCCAGTCTGGCTTCCCTGTCTTGAAGCTGGGAGGGGGACAGTGTCTCAGGCCCGCCGCAGAGGGGTCCTGGTGGGGAGGGCTGGTCTCCAGCTGCCGCAAGGCAGGGGCCTGGGGTCTCCAGAGGAAGAAGCCCCCGGGTTCTAGCACCCCATCTTCCAGAGCACCCCTACCTCACCTCCCCAGCCTTTCAGGGAACCAGGCACACAGCCTGGCCTCCTCCCGCAGACCTGGGTTGCCCCCCCCCCCCCGCTCCTGGCCTCCCCTGCCCCGTTCACCCCTCCCCTCACCTGGTCCCGCCAGTCCCACTCCCGGTCCTCCTGGTCCCCGCCTGTCTCCTCGTCCTCGTCCCCCCACTCCTGCGTGAAGGGCACGGCTCCCTGGCCGGCTTGGAAGTGCAGGTGGTACAGCAGCCGCACCCACTTGCCGAACTCGAGGTCCCGGGTCTCAGCAGGCCCCTGCAGCTGCAGGTAGAAGGCGCGGCCGGTGCAGAACTTGACCTTGAGCTGCTGGCGGCTTTCGTCGTGGATGTAGAGCTGGACGAACTGCAGGGGGAACAGCCTGGGCGGCGGGAGGGGCGGCCTCAGGTCGGAGGTCCCCACCTCGCCACCCTGTGCTCTGCCCTTTCTGCTTTTGTGGCCTCTTGAATTTAAGTCCAGCCTCACCTTCCAGCCACCGACCAGCCTCGTCCTCCAACTACTAACTCCACTGCCATCCCCAGGCGCGACCCGCTTCATTTTCCGCTGGGCAGCCCTACCGTCTGTGCCCCACGGGGCCGCCAGAGGGCGCCGGCGAACACTTCGCTGGGCTCCCTCGCTGGGCTCCCGCACAAAGGCAAAGCCATCTCCTTTGCATCTTTCTCAAGCGGCGCCTTCTCAGATCTCCCCTGGCCTATTCATTTCTTGAAGCACTGAGCTGTTTTCTCAGCCCCACCCCACCCCTTTTAAAAAATTTTGAGATAGAGTCTCACTAAGTTACCAAGTTGCTCAGCCGGGCTTCCCCGTCTACTGTGTCCTCGCGGGTCTCAGCCCAGCTGGCAGGCTATCCCTTCTCCCCTGCTTTCCCAGAAGGCGAGCTCGCTGAGGGCGGGGTAGGTCCAGGGCTGCTTCCCTAGTGGCCCGTGCTGACACCAGCGGGCGCTCCACGGATGCCAATGGCGTAATTGAATAAGCGAATCGCTTAGGCCCCCAGCTGGTCCAAGGTCCAACAAGACAGAAGAGGAGTCAAGAGAGGGCGGGGAACTTGGCCCAGGCCACACAGCTGGCACTGAGACCAACTCCTGTGTCCTTACCCACAGCAGCGGCGGTCACCTGACTGCTCTGAGGCCTAGGAACAGGACCTCTGGGAAGGACTCGGCTGACCTCACACGGGAGCACAGCCCTATACACACGGAGGTCTCTGCCACGCTGGCCGTGACCCTAAGTCCCTGGACAGCACCCCCGTGCCCAATGCGCAGCTCGATTTTGTTTCCTAAAAGGAAGAGTAGCAGCTGTCACTGACAGTGCTTGCTGTCCCAGCTGCTCCCAGACACTTTATATTTATAAACCCTGCATTTACCCCCGACGGGGGTAGGTGGCGCGCCTCCTGCCCCACCCCCACCCCGTTTCCAGGAAATTGAGGCACAGAGAGGGAGCCTAGTCAAAGGCAGACTGCTCGAGGGCATCCCTACCACATGGAACACGGGTCTGCCGAGGGTGAATGTCAGGGGGCCTGGTGGCCCTGCCGCCCACAGGAAGTGGCGCTGGCTGGTGCTGCTGAGGGGTGCGGTGAAAAGGAGGTGTGGATGTCCTCCACTGCTGTCGAAAAGGACGGGTGGCGCCTAGGTGCGTCTGTCCTCACCGCCCAGGCTTTGCTCAGGGACGCTCGTGGGTAGACAGGACGGGGTTGGGCAGCGCATGTGTCTGGAGGCCCTGTGTGCCGGGCAAGCGCCAAGATTTTTCTTCCGCGGTCTACTCATTTGGGGAGGGGTTTAGGGTGGTGAAGGAGAGTACTAGAGGTCAAGGTCACCCCTCGGCATGCTGTCAGTGCGCCCCCAACTGCAGTGATGGGTGGGGGGGTGAGAGCCTCCAGGAGGGACACGTCAGCACTGAAAGGTTTACAACATGTCAAAAATATTTCAGTGCATCTTACTGGTGTTGGAAAATTGCTTTGTGGGATTTCTCAACAAGGCAAGGGGAGGAACAAAGGTTGTGAAGCTCGGGACCTCCCTTCCTTCTTCTCTCTCCCTCACTGTCATTAACTGAGATTTGGTCAGAAAAGTGCAGGCTCCTGGCAGAACACATGTGTCCCCATGGAAAGCTGTAAATGTCCCTGTGCTTGCAGCTGGAGTTGCGGGCAGAAGCCCAGGACGTGTCAGCTTTGTGCTTCAGAGTGTTTCCTTTCCCATTATTTGTGTCGCTTTTCCAGTGAGAGCATATAATTCTGGGAAAATTTTGCTCACAAGGAGCCCAAGGTTCTAAGCTCAGTGCACGCCGGCCCGCTGAGGGGCCCTGGGTAACTGGCTCCCCTCTCTGAGCCTCGCTTTCTCTCTCTGGAGGATGGGGCAAAAGAGCCCAACGACGACACAAGAATACAAGGTGAGAGATGAGATTGTGGGGGCGCTCCACAGTCACTGTCCCGACCCCAGCAGGGTAGCACTGAGGACAGTCTTCCCCCAGTGTCATGCAGGCCCTGATTTCTGGCTCCCGTAGACCGCCCTGTCCTCCTACTCCTGGGCAGACAGCAGCTCAGTGAGGGCTGGCAGCAGCTAGCACTCCCGGGCCCGGGGGGCCGTGTGTGAGGGGGTGCTGCAGGGGGCTCGGGTGCCAGAGCCGAGGAAGGAGGTCTTGCAGGAGGGACAGTCACCCGAGAAGCTGCAGACATCCATTCTCCTTGGTAGGGCCAGCCAGCAGCAACAGGTCTGGGAGTTCCAGGGCTGGACTAGAGGCTGCCACTCCCATGGTGACCTTATTGGCAACTTCTCCAAACCGGGTCACCTGGGGCCAGAGGTCAGAGGTCAGGGGCCAGACAGATGGGGGCGGAATTGGACAGGGATCAGAGGTCAGGAATCTTGTAGGGTAAAGACAGTCACGCACAGGGGAGTTAAGAATCAGGTTGGGAGCACGCTGCTGTGGGATGACAGGAAAAGAATCCGAGGGTGGGAAATCAGAGGAACTGTTGCAAAGATCTGAGGCCAGGTTTCATACACGAGCTAACAGGCTGGGGATATGGGGGCTTGAGATCACTAGGAGATGAGGTCAGCACCTCCACGAGATGGGTTATGCGGGAACGTCCAGGGCAGGGAGAGGGTGAAGGTCGGGCCCAGGCTCTGGGGCCGAGGTCCCCGGGGATTCCCCACCTGCACGAAGTTGCTCTCAAAAACGGTGAAGTTGCGTAGCTGGTCGAACTCGCCGCTCAGGAGGTGGCGCTGGAGCCATCCGGGGCCTTCTAGGGCACAGGCTAGAACCAGAGAGCATCCTAGATGGACGAAGTGCGGGACCCACCCAGTCCCGGGAGGCGAGACCCGTTCCCCCAACAGGTTGGGCCGGGGCGGCAAAGGGCGGGCAAAGGGTATCAGCTGTCTCCATTGCGGCCCTACACCCGCCTTGGTAGCCTCACTGGTTCCTGGCCTGGGTCCGCCTCTCACCTGCCAGCCCACTTGATCCCATCTCACGCACTGCACGGAGGGCTGACTTAGGCCCGTGCCTCCCATCGCCGCAACGCCCCGCCCTTTGGTGGGCACGGAGGGAGGAGCACCAGGGGAAAAAAAGGGCGGGAACCATGGTAAGGTGACATCATAACGAGGCGGGCCAGGTTTTGATGACATCACAGAGGACGCTGTGGTGGTGACGTCACCGGAAGGACGGGCTGGGGGAATCTGGAAGTATAGGCAGCCGCCGGCCGACTTTAGCAGCCGACTGAAACCGGGGCCAATGCGCAGGCGCAGGAGCCAGCGCACGCGTACGAGCGTCAGAATGCCTCCGTTGCTCCCAGCGTGCTCCGCGGTGTAGGTTTATAGGAGGTGGGAAGGCGTCGTAATGGCTGCAGCCGGCGCTGGCGCCACCCGCCTGCTTCTCCTCTTACTGGTAGTGGCAGCAGCGCCCAGCCGGGCCAGGGGCAGCGGCTGCCGGGCTGGGGCCGCTGCACGAGGGGTGAGTGCTCGTTCGCTCTGCGCAGAGGGCGGGGCCGACCGAGTCATGGGTCCGTAGGTGGGATTAAGGTGGCAAGGAGGTTGGGCAGGATGGGGAGCGTAGGGGAAAGTGAGAGAACCATGGAAACGGGCGCAGGAGATGCCTGCCCGGGCGCGAGTCCGAGTGGAAAGAGGAGCGGGGCTCGGTGGAACCTAGCGCCTGGGATGTTGGGTGCGATGGGAAACGGGCGGTGCTGGAGGACTGGTGGGTGCAAAGTCCCTCTTATGTAAAACGTGAGGGCTCCTCCGTGTAAATATTCATGAGAGGGCGTGGCCCTGGTGGAATCCTGGGGCATCAGACGTAGGCGCTGTTAAAAGGAAGGGGCGTCGGGGGCACTGGAGGGATTGGAGAGGAGTTCTATGTTCTGGGTGTACACGAGCGAACCGGGTCGCGCAGGTGCGTGGGCGTGAGGCGGTGGAGGATGCCGAGGTAGGGAAACGTAAAGGCAAAGGAAAGCGTGGAATCTTGAATGTACTTGACGTGAATAGAACTCAAGCGGCCTCTTGGCTACTGAGGCTGTTAAGGTGAAAACGCGGACTTTGGGTATTAGCATATTACCATGCCAAGATGCCCTAGGAGAGGGAGGATAGCCCTTAACTCGCAAATATTTATGGTGCGAGCCGTGAAAGCGACCTACGGATAGTTGTCTTAGAAGGGAAACTCATGAAGCGTGTTTGTAGGATTTTGCTTTCTAGATAATGGGAGACCAGCTCGTGAATATTCATGATGGGCTGTCCCAGTGGAGTGGGGCAGTTGTGATTGATCTGCTTGCGGCTGAATATAAGACTTCATCCGTTCCACCAGTCTGTCTGTCCTGGGGTTTGTGGATCCTGTCCTGAGGGCTCCGTGGTCCTCACCTGGGCCTCCCTTGTGTCCTGCAGGTTGGGGCTGACGGCCGGGAAGGGGAGAGCTGTGGCACGGTGGGGCTGCTGCTGGAGCACTCCTTTGAGATCGGTGAGTGCCCGGCCCGGCTGCACACAGCTGCAGCACAGTGAGTTGGGTGGGAGACTAACGTTCATTTGCTAACAGCCTTGCCGGGGAGGGGAGGGTAGCGGGACACAAGCAGAGAGCAGCCTCGCCTTTAAATGCCCCCAAGCCTGTAGGACCAACGCCAGCCTCAGACTGGAGTGATGATTTCAGAGCAGACGTTTCCGACCTTTCCCGTGCGTCCTGCACTAGTGGCCGCGGTTTTTTTTGTTAGCTCAGGACAGTCATGCAAGGTTGTAGGTGTAAGCTCCGTTTTCCAGAAGGGGAGACGGGTTCAGTGGGCACATACAGGGTCCCTCAGTCAGTGAGTGGCAGAGCTGGAGCCAGGTCCCAAACCCAACTGAAACAGCAGTAACAGGTAGGCTCGGAGCCAGCCGTCAGCCGGCCCAGGGCCCAGTAATGGCGCAAAGGCCCCACTTGGTACAGGGGAGCTGGAGTCCTTGTCCGGCGTTGGTCAGCCAGAGGAAGCTGAGGCTCAAGGAGGCTATGTGATTGTCCCTGGGCCACCTGGCAAGGTAGGGGTGGCCCTTGGGAGCTTTGGGGTTCATGTGTCAGCTTTGTTGCCTTGGGAAGCAGGAGGGCAGGGTGAGATGGGGGTGTCCCCAGCGTGCACTTGGGAAATGGGGGGGCAGGACAAAGAAGCCACTGGTCCCTCTCTAGCAGAGGGCAGGCTGGGGTTTGAATCGGGGCCTCCTGGCCCCTGCCAGGTTGTAGGGTGTGGCAGGGTGGTCACTGAATGCATCCCCGCAGACGACACTGCCCACTTCCGGAAGCGGGGCTCCCTGCTCTGGAACCAGCAGGATGGCACCTTGTCCCTGTCACAGCGGCAGCTCAATGAAGAGGAGCGGGGCCGACTTCGGGTGAGGTGGGGACCCCAGGGCTGGGCTAGGTTAGGGGGCGTCCAGCAGTTTCTCCAGCTGCCCACGTGGCCCCCTGCAGCCCTCCCTCCAGGTCCAGGTGTGATTCCAGCACCTCCTGCTGCCCCATCTCACCCCTGACCCCCATGGCCAGCTCAAGCTTCGTGGTGCTTGGTTAGCCTTTGTGCTGGGATGTGCTGTGCCTGCCTCGGAGCCTCATCCAGGCTGCCCCGTGCCAGCCCATGGCACCTCCCTCCCTCTCGGGTTTCCCTCCCCAGCTCCTCTCCACTTTCAGATGCAGCTGGGACTTGTGCAGTTGCTTGGGCCGAGTTTGGTGTGAGGAGAAAGATCCTGGGGATGGCTGTGGTTAGACGAGAGGCTCCCTCTGTCTCGGTGCTTCCTGGCTCCTCAGGCCTGGTCCTCCCAAGCCTGGCTCTGTGCTCCCCCACAAAGGCTGGCACAGTCCAGGCTGCCCGCTTCCGTGGGTACATGGCCGCCTTCCTGGGGCAGAGGTCAGGGCGAGGTCTGCCCCGGGCAGCCTTGGTGCATGCTGCCCTCATGGTTCTCCGTCCCAGCTGCCCCCCAAAAGAATTGAGTGCTGGTGTAACTTAGGAGTCTGGGTGTGCACCAGCTGCCAGGTGGGGCGCCCCCCCCCCCCGTGGACTCAGTCAGCCGGGCCGGGGTCTGTGGGGTGCAGGGTGGGTGAGACCAGAGGGCTTTCCTGATGGAGGCCTGCTGGTGCTGGGCGCTGCCCATCTCACGTTGCCCTCCCCGTGTACCCTGCAGGACGTGGCAGCCCTGAATGGCCTGTACCGGGTGCGGGTCCCCAGACAGCCCGGGGCCCTTGACAGCGCAGAGGCTGGTGGCTATGTCTCTTCCTTTGTCCCTGCGGTGAGTCTGATGGGGCCCTCCTCCGCCCTCAGTCTCCCCGCTGCCTCAGTCCCGAGCCCCTGGCCGTTCCTGGCTGCTTGGAGGTCGGAGGCCCCAGGCCTGACCTGTCCTTGAGGGTTGACTCGTCCCGGCTGGGTGCTTTCGGGGGAGGTAGGGGCTGAGAGAGGGCTTTCATAGATGCTGAGTGGGTCCTGGCCCCGCTTCCCTCCGCCCCACAGTGCTCCCTGGTGGAGTCGCACCTCTCCGACCAGCTGACCCTGCACGTGGATGTGGCTGGCAACGTGGTGGGGGTGTCCGTGGTGACGTACCCCGGGGGCTGTCGGGGCCACGAGGTGGAGGACGTGGACCTGGAGCTGTTCAACACCTCCGTGCGGCTGCGGCCGCCGGGCACCGCCCCAGGGTGAGTGTGGAGGGAGGGCCCGGCCCGGGTGCTTCCGTCCTCACAGGGCCCCAGACACCAGCTTCACCCGCTTTCCTCACCTCAGCCCCGAGACAGCAGCCTTCATCGAGCGCCTGGAGATGGAGCAGGCCCAGAAGGCCAAGAACCCCCAGGAGCAGAAGTCCTTTTTCGCCAAATATGTGAGTGGGGCGCCCCGGCCTCCCCCTTCCTCACAGGCCTCGCCCGCCGGCCCAGCCTCCTCTGTCCACACGTCCTTTGCACATCCGTCCCTTGCACGCCCTGCCAGTGCCTGGGTTGAGTCTCCTGGGTGGTGGCGCTGAGGGCCATGGACCCCTCCTTAGGTTGGCTCCTGAGAGTCGTCCAGAGCTGCGGGCCTAGGAGCAGGGCATTTGTGGGCGCAGCGTGGAGGGTGTGGCCAGGCAGGGACAGAGACGGGCTGGTGGCCTCACCTGAGCTGGGCTGCAGCAGGCAGGACAGGAGGAGATGCAGAGCAGGGGGCCTGGAAGGCTGGGCACTGGGGGAGGCTGGAGACCCAGGCTCGGCCACAGCAAGCGTCAGCAGTGCCAGGCTGCCCAAGAGTCAAGGTGGGGGCGCTGGCAGCCCTGGAAGGCCCGAGCAGCTGCTTCTGTCTGCACAGCCCACCCGCCAAGCCGCAGGAAGCTGAGGCCCAGAGAGGCCCTGCCACTTGCCCAAGGGCCTCCAGGCTGCAGGGCCTGCTGACCCGCGCCCCTCCCTCCTCAGTGGCACCTCATCCTGGGGGGGGCCGTGTTGCTCACAGCCCTGCGTCCTGCTGCCCCGGGGCCCACGCCGCCGCCACAGGAGGCCTGAGTGAGGATTGAGACCCTTCCCACCTCCGCCCCACCCGCCTGTAGTGATGTAGGGGACCCGCCCCCCATGCAGCCCCCTTGTGCTGGGCTCCTTCTGGGCAGAGCAGGTCCCAGAAGATGCTCACCTCCCTCTGTCTCTCTATGTCCGTGTGTCTGTCCTCCGGCTCCGTCACCTGCAGTGGATGTACATCATTCCCGTGGTCCTGTTCCTCATGATGTCGGGAGCTCCGGATGCCGGGGGCCAGGGCGGGGGCGGGGGCGGCGGCGGGGGCAGCGGCCGGTGACTGGCCTGTCCGCTTTGCCCCTGGGATTCCCTTCTACCCAGAGGCCCCCACGTCCCTCATCATCTCAGGGCCTTGCTGTCTCCTCATCCTCGGAGGAGAGAAGGGCATCCCTCCTGAAAGCCCGTGTCTTCCCCCTCTCCCTTCCTGTTGACAGAGGTCCAGTGGAGTTGGGGTGCTCCTGCTGTACCCCACGCGCACAACCCCACATCAGCCCCTGAGTTCCCTTTGCCCTCAGGCTAGAGTCCCAGCCCCCTCATGGCGCTGTGCTCCACTGCCTGCCCCAGCCCTGCAGCTGGGCACACGCCTGCTTCTCCAGTCTGTGTGCCTTTGCCCAGGCCTGCTCCCCTGCCCACTGAGGCCCTGACACCTCCTAGGACACTGGACTGGGCCCAGGCTTCCCTTGAGGGTGCCCTGGGCCTCCCCACTGAGGAAGTGGTACCCCGGTTTCCCCGCCTTACAGCGCCGCTCCTAGGCCCGTGCCTGGCCTTCGTCTGCCTGCAGTAGGTAAAGCGCCTGGCATCCCCCCAGGCCTGCAGCTGGCAGCTGGAGGAGTCGGGGCCAGGTTATATAAATAGAGTCCCTTCTGCGTCCTCCGTCCCAAGACAGCCACCCGTGTGTGGCTCCAGGACAGAACTGTGGCCCAGCCGTGGTCTTCTGCGTCTGTTTAAGAATATTCACGTGATACTGCAGTGCACACATTTTGAAAACTTCCAGCTCCTGACAGACAGCCTGGTGTCTGAGCTGTGCTGGACTCTGCTGTGCGCTCACCCTGTTACTCAGAAACGTGGGACAGTGGCCATCGCTGGCGTGGCATCAGCATCCCTGTGTCGGGTGGCCGTTGATTAAACTGTTCCCAGACGCCCCGCTCTGCACCCGCATCCTGCTTTCTGGGGCTGTAGACAGCGCTACAGCGGACGAGGCCATCTGTTGGTGGTGGTGTTGGAGCGATTTGCCCAGGCTGCGTGGCAGGGGCGTGCTGTTGCCCGGCGCTGGTGGCGCCTGTCCCAGTGTGGCTCTCAGCAGCCAGAGTGTGCAGCACAAGGTCACGTGTCTCCTCCCTGCATGTTGTGAGGTGTACTCCCCAGCTCAACAGGCCGGAACATGTGATCTGCCCACCTTCGTACAGTCCCTGGGGAAGGGAGCTGCTGCCACCCTGAGCTGTGCCCCCTGCCGCCCCGTGGGCCACTTGCTTTGGCACCGTTCCCCTTCAGTGGCCTCGCTAGCAGACATCTCAGACTCGGGGTCTGGGCCAGTCTGGGAGGGTAGAAAACTGACCCAGCATTACTGTGTCCCTGCGTTTCCCACAGCAGAACCGTTGGGGCTCTCGGAGGCCTCTTGGCAGCGTGTGCCTTTGCTTTCAGGGGAGGGCGTTGGGGATTGAACCCAGGGCCTTCGCACTGGGCTACCTCCCCTGCTGTTGTTGTTCGTTCTGTCTTTTTGAGACAGGGTCTCGCTATGCAGTTCAGGCTGGCCTTGTGCTCACTTTGTAGCCCAGGCAGTCTTGAACTCACAACAATCCTGCCTCAGCCTCCTGAGTGCTGGGGTTACAGGTGTGCACCACCACGCCCGGCCTCTCCCTAGCTGTTTTTCTCGTTAATTCTGAGTAGGCTGTCACCGAGTGGCTGAGCTGCTGGGCTGTGTCCAGATCTGTGACCCTCCTGCTTTCTTTGCACGTGGAGTGCACCTGTCCCTCGCCCTAGGTCATCCCACAAGAACTGCTGCGGGGGCTGGGGATTTAGCTCAGCGGCAAAATCGCCTGCCTGGCAAGCGGAAGGTCGTGGGTTTGGTTCCCTGTACCGGAGAAAAACCAAAAAAAAAAAAAAAAAAAAAAAAAAAAAAAAAAGCTGCGGATTCTGTGCAGTGTCTGCTGCTCATTTCCCAGCCTCTGCACCTGGTTTGCGATGGCTCCCAGCTACTCGTGGGGCTGTCCTGCTGGGGAAGGCGCACTGAGCTCTGACTCCAGTCCTTTCAGCTGGCACTTGCTCTGCAGTGTCCTAGTCTGGGCTCCCTGGGGCTTGGTCCTTATTAAACTTCTCTCCTGGTTCCTGCCTGTCTCAGCAGAGTTTATTCACTGTGTGAGTTCTCTGGCCAAAGGCTGGGAGACATGCGGTAGGAGTCAGCCAGGAGCTGTCTGCTGTCCCCAAGCTCCTGCTCAGTTTCCTGCTGGAGGCTGCCCAGGTTTTCTGCCGCCTGTTCATTGTTCTGAGCACATAAACGCTCGTGGGCTGGGGATGTAGCTCAGTGGCACAGAGTCCAGTAAGCGCAGGGTCCTGAGTTCGATCCCCAGTACAAAAAAGCAAAAACAAACAAAAAAAAAGCGCTCATGGAAGTCGTTCCGCAGAATTGTGTTCCTCTTTTCCTCTGCCCTCCACAGGGCTAGGGGGGTTTCCCTCCCCCTGTGACTCCGTGGCTCAGGGATTTTCTCACTGATCGCCTGTGAGTGGTCCCTGTGGTGCTCACGACATCACTGCAGGGGTCCCTGTGTCCCTGCATCGTTTTGTGCACACAAATAGGCCCGTCTTTGCTTGTTGCTGGGACAAAATTCCCAGCACCCAAAGCTGGAGGAGGAGGTGTGTATTTTATCTCACAGTGTGTAGACATTTCAGTCCACTGTCAGCTGGCTCCAGGGCAGGATGGCACAGCTGAGGGGAAACAGTTCACGGCAGGGCAGGCAGAAGGGCAGCAAGCAGCAAGCAAGCCGCCTCCTTTATCCCAGCCGTGCTACCTGCCTTTTGGGTGGTGCCGTCCACACCCGGGGTGGCCTTCCTGTCGCCCACACCCAGAACTGTGCTAAACCAATCTGGACTAGTTGAGTCGCACACACCCTTAATCCTAGTGTCGCATCGTACATCCAGCATCCAGCCGGCTCCGGAAAGCCCCACCCATGAGCACCTGAGGCTTTTCGAGGGCATCTAGACACAACCCATATGGGGCCAGACAGGACTTAGGGGCTCAGAGTGTGTGTGTGTGTGTGAGAGAGAGAGAGAGACCGTGTGCCCTGTGGCTGCTCCACATCTCAGCCATTCCGCCATACCAGATTCCAAACAACCCTGCGTCCCCAAGTCTGGCTCTAGCTCAAGCCCTCTGACAGACCCACAGCCCCCTTGGTTCAGCAGCACTTGGGCCTCAGGGACTGTGAGGCAGCTGGACATTGTGCCGGCATCCCTGTCCCGATCCAGTGGGCTGCCACCCGTCCCTGCCCCTGCCACACCTGCCCTCAGGGGCCCGGGCCGCATCCCTTCTCTGTCACCTGCCTCCTGGACCTCCAGCCCCTCGCTCATACTCTAGCTTCAGATTCCCACTTGTCCATCCCGATGTTCAGCACCAGAGTGGACTCCACCACAGCCCCACGTGCTCCCAACACAAGGTCCCAGCCCTTGCGCCTGCTCTTGAGGCCTTTAATGAGTGAATCGATTGGGCACCACCAGGCCGGCTTCAGCGCTGTCCACCTGCCTGTTCTCCCGTGGCTCCCTCTGTCCTGTGCAGCTCGGCCCTCCTCCTCTCCCGGGGTCTCCCAGCTTTAAGGCATCAGGTCTAAGATGTGAAGAGCTCGGTGAGGGGACCCCCCACCCCTGCACACTTCCTGCCACACCCTTGGACACCCTTATGTGGCCCCAGAGGTAAGGACGCTCTGCCTCCTCTAAGGTTCCTGCTGGTATCCACGTGTTCTAGCACGTGGCTGGGTGGTGTGGTCTGAGGACACGAGAAGTGGACTTCCGGCTGCTTTAGGCTGCTGCCCCACTCAGCGGCTTCAAGAAAGAACTGCATAGGTTTCCAACCCTCAGGGTGATGCCATGACAAGGAGCTGGGCTCATTGCAGGTTCTAGCGGCTGGTCCATCACCTCCCCTTGTACCTGCCCCCATACGGCAAGGCACGATGGAGGTGCTGTGGGAAAGGGATCCGTGTGACGCGGCCCAGGCCCAGGGGTGCAGGCTCTCACAGCTTCTGCAGCCCAAACCCCCTTCCCCAGGTGCCTCTCCGTGGGCCGTGGGAGAATCCACCTGCTGAGGGATGTGAAGGGACGTGGAGGGACATAAGCTGCAGATAGAGGCTCGCTGGGCAGGGTGTTTGTATGTTAGGAACAAAAGCATTCATTGGCACAGGATTCTGCGAATTCTCCCTCTCCACCCACCCGACAGCCCGTCTCCCTTCCCCAGGTTGGTCTCTTCACTTCTTGTGGGTCTCCGTGTCTAATATAGCAGGGTTGCACTTCTAGCGTCCGCCAGCAGGTGGGGACAGAGGCCCCAGAGGGTCCTCCTGCAGGTCTCCCGGCCTCCAGCCATGCCTTCTCTGTCCCAGCGGTGCATGGGCTTCAGAAACGCTGGGTGTCCATCCTGTCTGTGAGCCTCCCGTCCTGCTGCCTGCGGAGAGGTGGGCCCAGCAGGGGAGTGAACAGAAGGCCCCACCACCCTCTTCAGACTCGAGCTCAGGGCCAAACCGAAGCCTCGGGGCCACGTGGGCCTGGGCCTGCCACTCACATGCTTGTGAGGTGGGAAGGTCGCGGCCAACCTCGGTGTCCTTCTGGTTCTGGGTTCCTGGGCCTAGGGTGGCTGATCCCTCCAGGCAGCGTCAGGCATCCCCGGCAGACAGAAAAGAAAGGGCAGGGTCACAGGGGTCCCCTGGGGACACCAGGTGGCACCGCCCGCCCCAGCCTCAGAGGACCCCTGGGTGGGTGAAGAACAAGGGGGGGAGCAGGGGCCTCCCCAGACTGGAGGGAGCAAGGCCCGAAAGCACCGCAGAGGGAGGAACAAGGAGCCCGGACGGGGCGGAGGATGGGAGGAAGAGGAGAGGACGCAATGAGGGAAGTGCGCCTCGGGAGCGGGAGAGGAGAGGGCAGAGAGGAGGTGGGCAGAGCTGGGCAGGGAAAGAGCAAGACAACCAAAGGAGTGGGAAGAAAAAGAAAGTGGGGGAAATGGGCAAGGAGGGGGCTGGGGGAGGAGAGGACCAGAGGGAAGGGACGGAAGGGAGTGGGGAGGGGAGGAGGGCAGGGGCAGAGAAGGGAGCCTGGGACAGGGAGGGGACAGCGACCACAGACAGAGCAGTGAGAGTGTCTGAGCCTGGAGAAGAGAGAGGAGAGCGGGCACTGAAGGGGAACAGGCAGGAAAAGGAGATGAAGGAGGCAGGGCTGAAGTGCAGAGTCGGAGGGAGGAGAGTGAGGGGAGGCGAGGAGAAGAAGGAGAGTGGAAAGAGGAGGAGAGGAGAAAGAGAAAGGGGAGGAGAAGGGGAGGGGAATAGGAGGAGGAGAGCAGGAGGAGGAGAGGAGGAGGAGACGAGGATAATGAGAGGATGAGAAGGAGAGGAGAAGGAAGGG